CTGGCCATGCCGGGCCTTTACTATATAAGATACATAGAACATTCAGGGCCGGCGCCAGACTATTTTGCGCCCTAGACAGATTTAAGAACAGATGGTCAGATACGTGTTGGATTAAAACGTGTAGCTTTTTCGGTTCTACTGTTCGCTAAAAAAATAGCCGAAGTTTTATACACTCATTAAACTTCAGGAACTCAGAATTGTTAATTTCCTCGGTTCATATTCATGTCAGAGTCTACCATTCCCGCCATATTTCCACCCAAAACGAGCAGTGCCCACAACTGTCGTTTCTAGCAAAAAATATAATAATAATAAAATACCAGAAAGACTGGATTTATGAAGTCTAGAAATGTTTGTACAAGGGGAGTTAGGAGATGGTGTATATCGTAAAATTATACATATAGTAGCATGTCGCTTAGGGGCAGATAATAAAAAGTTGATTTATTCAGTGGTTTCTGTTTTTTTTTTGTTTTTTTTTTTCCTTTTTGTATTCTTTGCTTTCTGTGAAAACCGCTAGGGAATATGGGAATGAAAATCTCGGTGAGAAATAAGCTGGGGGAAGAGACTGTATAAATATTCCTTTCTTTCTCTCCTTCATTGCTTCTAAGTGTATACTGTACATATGTCTTGCCCCAACGTTAACTTACGGTATTATTCTCTTTGCATGACAGTTCATGTCAATGCCGCTAGGGTATTCTGTCATTGAGACAAACGACTGACAACAGAATATTCCTAATTCAGTTTGTTAGATGTTGGTCACGTAGCGGACGACTCTTCGTCTTGGGAGGTTTTCTATGTGTAAAGGGAAATTTTGTCAACTTCAAAATCTTAAAAATAACTAAAAATATTTCTTTGAGTTCTTACATTTTCAACCCAAGTGTCGACATACAATGTTACATGCCAGTAAATTTCGATAGTTTATTTTGAAATATTAAATTTATAGCAAATATATATTGGATGCCACTGTATTTCGGTATTGTATTTCAAAACATTAAACTTACAGTAGGATGTTTCGTTGTGTTAATAATGCTTATCATTTATAATTTCAGCTCTCATCTACGACTTGCTGGAGCACCAGTCCGTTGGACGGGTGAAATAAAAACTCGTTTGTAACAAAGGATAGGAAATTGTGCTTCTGTTTTTTT